AAACATCCCGTGATTACAAATACTTCGATATGAACTTTTTGTTCAACGTTAATGCTTCTACGAGCAGCAACGGATGTGATAAATAGATGGTGGTATATATGCGTGTTACAGATTGAAGACGTGTATATAACTTCATATGAAACACACGGACAGTTCTGGCCATGCATTCATCACTACATTATTGTTGCACTCGTCATCATGCAAATTACTATGATCGGTCTTTTTGGACTCAAATCGAAGCCTTCAGCTTCCTTTGCCACAATACCGCTCATGATTCTCACTTTGCTCTTTAATGAGTACTGTAAGATTCGGTTCTATCCTAGCTTTCGCCATCTCTCTGTACAGGTAAAATTACATTTTCCTTTTCTTGCCCTTTTTGGTTGACAAGATGGAGAATAGTATATTAACCAATTAGCAAATATAGTTAAATGGCATGTAAATGATACCTGCATTCATCCTTGTACATGTTCTCCATTTTTACATGGAATTTTGGCTTTAACTGCAGAACATGAGACAAAACAAAAACGCAGTCGATTATTTGGCCTTACTGGCAATAAAGGGTGTTAAATTTGGGGGTAATCCCAGACTCCCAGTCAAGATGCCTAAGGATACAAACTTGTAATAACCACGGCCTTCTGGTTTGAGCCGGTTAGTTATGGATAATCTAGACTGGTTTATCTCCTTGTGGTCCTTTGTCGGTTAGGGTCACAAGGCAGGGTTTCCCCAATGCACACCCTCGGGTAGAGACCGCAGATTTTCCTCATTACCCCCAAAAAAGGTGTTAAATTTGCATGACTGTGAGGCCAGCTTTAGTCAAGTTGGTCAGGCTGTTAACATAGTAACTACAAGGTTACAAGTTCGACTCCTCGTGGGAGTGGCTTATTGGTCTTCTTGGTTTGAGCTGGTCAGTTATGGGTAATTTCCACTGATTTGCCTCTTTGTGATCCTTTGCCAGTTAGGGTCACAAGTCACAAGGCAGGTTTTACCCAATGCACATCTTAGGGTAGTTGCTATGGGTTTCCCTCGTCCAAAAAATAAATCTGCGTGACTGTTCAGTTGTTTCAGATAAGATGAGTTTTTGTTCAACTTTGATATTCTTGTGCTTCAATTGTCAGGATGCCACGACGAATGATGAACTCGACCAGAAGGATGGTGTGATGGAGGAAAATGTAAGAAATGCACTTGACGCGTATTCTCCTCCATGTCTGCTGCCCATGGGGTTTGAAGTGCCAGAATCGGGCTCGATGGCACTGTCAGGCTCAACACAGCCATTACTACCATGAAAACAGCATGCCTATATACACTGTTTACACTTTCCTGTCCCAATATTCTGCCATGGGGTCTAGAAAAATACGGCGACGGCTGCAGTTTTTGGAGGATTTTCTGTGTTTTGAGTGATTAGTACTTGCAAAGTTTGCTTCATATTTATGTAATCATCATCACAATGGATGGCAGGTAGCCCCAAAAGGATCATCTGAGAATGTAGCTTACCTGCAAAAACACCGACAGGGAGCTTCATTAATAAAAACCATGCTGCTAGTCAATTCAGCAATATACTTGTAAATATACATATTTTGTTGATTGAGTATTCCTGTAAATATTCAGATGAATTGAGTCTTAGTTTAAACCAAAGGGGTGAAGGTACATTGAGTCAAGGGCATGTTTATTTGTAGTTAATCGAACTGAGATATGATGCTTTTCTTAAAAGGAATTTGTAAAGGCACACTTTTTAAGAGGGTCGAGATTTATTTTACTTTAAATGGTTTTTATTATTTTCTATGCATTTGTTTAAATTTGGAGGAGTGACATGTTACTTTTCGCAATCTGACATAGAAACGTCCTCTATAGCGATAATATGGATGGGTAATACAATTCACAATTGTTAGAACATGCTTGATGTAGTAAAAAAAAACTGGGCTATGTAGATAAGTGTATGTATACGGTTTTAATCCGTAGGATGGTACAAGTCAGAAATGTCAAAAGTTCCACCACAAGGTATTAAATGTGCTATTTATTGGATTGTGAAGGGAACACATATTGGGGGTCGGGTTGTGCAACACGTGTGACTCATGCATAAGGAGGGGGTGGAGGGTCGGAGGCGTTGCTGACTCCCCCATGTGTGTGAAGGTTCCTAATGTCCTTGCTCCTTCCGCAGTTGGGTAGAAATAGAGGAATAAGGCTCGTGTGGCCCCGGTCGGGTTGATCATCCCAAGCCCATGGGGTCACTTCCAATCTCAAGGTGAAGTGAAAGGTATATGCTAATAAGTCACTTGTTCGGTCTTTGTATTGCGCTCGGGTCGGTCTAGCATAAGGGCAATCAAGGTCGGGACCGGTTCTTCATGGTGACCAAGTCGGGTACCGAGCACGTGTGTAATACGTATATTCGGGCAATATTCCCAAATCAATAGGTTGCAAGTGAAAGATGAGGTTATTAATCTTTGATCTAGCTAAAATTAACAGTACAAATTGAAGAAAACTTTTTAAAAAATGCGGTGGCATTATGATAATTTTGCATAAGTTGAAAACTTAAGGTGCGTAAATTTATAGCTTAAAGTGAGTAAGTTTATAGTTGTAGGTGCCTAAGTTTAAAGCTTAAACTGCTTAAGTCTAAAATTTAAGGTGCGTAGTTTTATAGCTTAATGTGCGTAGTTTTATAGCTTAAGGTGCGTCACTTTCCAGTATAAGGTGCTGAAATTTTAAGGTTAAGGTGCATAGTTTTATAGCTTAAGGTGTGTACGTTTAAAACTTAAGGTGTGTCACTTTTCTAGTTTAAGGTGCACCAGTTTGAAATAGTTGATATGCATGTTTGCAGGAAGCGCGTTTAAAAAAAAAATTCAGTTTGAGCCATTGATCTAGATTAGATCAACAACTCAAATCTCACCCCATATATATATATATATATATATATATATATATATATATATATATATATATATATATATATATATATAACTAACTGAGTCCAACCGTACATAAACTTATATAAATATAATAAGAGTGGATAATGACCATAAATTAAAATATTCATAACAAAAGATAGGTTTTAACCTATAAATAATTTAGTTAACTTGATATGGGAGTAAATTCCAGCAATGGTCCTCCGACTATATTGATTTTTCACAATTAGTCCTTGACTTTTAATTTGGACAATTTAAGTCCTTTGACTTTTGAATTCTTTCCAATGTTGGTCATTCCGTCAAATGAAGGTTAAGTGGACATTAAATGAAGGGGTAAAATAATCTTTTAACCTTTTTTTGAATGCTACTAGCTCTATTAGAATGTAGTAGAATGAAGGTTAAGTGGACATTAAATGAAGGGGTAAAATAATCTTTTAACCTTTTTTTGAATGCTACTAGCTCTATTAGAATGTAGTATCTGTTCATATACAAAGAGCCAATAACGCCTCCACTGAGGCTCGAAATCACAATCTCTCGAAAACACAATCTCCCAAATGAAAGTCCAACCCAGATACCATTAGACCAAATAATATTTTAACCTAATTAGTGTATAATTACTAGTATCTCATCTCTCCTTTTCTTGTATAAGCGACATTAGATTCGTATTTCAAGGATTTCGTAGTCCAGTTGTTGTGATGTTGTTGATGTGTTTCCATCCTCATCCGCCACACCAGCAGCAGCAGGAGGAGGTTCATGGTTTAATTGCTTAAACAAATACTTCCGGACCAAACAACACCCGAAGAAACGTATACAAACTGAGTAACGCATTACTGCTGTCCGACCCAGTGAGTAACGCATTTTCCCAAAGTGATTTCTTCTTTTAAATTCTTATTTTCAACATTCTAATTCTGGATAAGAAATTGTAGTAATATTATTTGTTTTCTCTATACAGTTGATTTTTTTCTGGATATTGTTTCCATAATTTGAAATGTTTAGATCATGGGGGTAGTTTCCAGTTTGAAGAAATGCATATCCTTGCGTTATGGGGTTCACTCGAATGATGCTTGTGAATTCTTGAATTCCAATCAGAATAATTTTGGGATATTATGGCTCCAATGCATCCCAACAACTCATGCCGGATTTTCCCCTCAATCTTGCGGCCGAGTTTGAGAAACAGAAACTGGATTTGGATCTCTTTATCTGTCTCCAAGTAAAAATCTATCTATGTTTTTCTTTATTTTTTCTCCATCATATCATGTATTTATTTATTGGCCTGGGGAATGGATTTTTTAATTTGTATGGTTACTATACGTTGTGAAACAGAACGAAAGGTTGAGATTTGTTGTTAAAGAACAGACGAAGGAACAAGTGGGTTTGATCCTGAGAACATACAAAGCAAAAAACACAAGTTTTACTGAAATACAAGGAGGGAGAGATAAGGGCGACGATGAAGAAGAAGACTGAGCTTGAAGCAGACGTGGGAGAAGGTGGCGAAGGAGAATGGGAGAAATACAAATAATTATACACTAAACAAGTGAAAAGACTATTTTATCCCTTCATTTAACCTTCACTAACCTTCATTTGACGGAAGGACTAACATTGGAAAGAACTCAAAAGTCAAAAGACTTAAATTGTCCAAATTAAAAGTCTAGGACTAATTGTGAAAAATCAATATAATCGGAGGACCATTGCTGGAATTAACTCCTTGATATGGAGACTATTATAGTGGTAACCGGTAAGTGTATGTCATATAAACAAAACATACTATTAAAAAAATAACTTTCAATACATTAAAAGTGAACATTTATTCATGGTTTATAATTTTTTTTTTTTAGTACATTCTAACCTAACTATAGTAGTTGCTCAACATATTATGTTAATCCTTGATTGGAATAAAATTCGAACATGAGACCTTCCTTATGGAAAGCAACAATAATGCCAAGTCACAAAGTATTTGGCCATGTTTGGGTTATACTAAGGCCAATGACGGTGGTCTAGATATGTGGCGAGATTTGGGATGTGCCCAAGACTCCCAACTCATTCAAGTCCTAAAAATATCTGTGTATACTTTGAAGAAAATACTGTTGCAATGCATTAAGAAAGTGCACAAGAAAAAGAGAAGTGTCTTCCCCAGAAATTTTGTTTTTGCTCTAGGCAGTATAGAATTAGGTCAGAATAGCTAGTAAGAAATGCAAGAAAGAGGATATTGTAGTTTAAGAAATGTTTATAAACTATCAGAGTCAACTACCATCTTCAAAGTGGCAAATTAAATGCAGAAAACTAGACTTCGGCACCAAGGAGGGTCATCAAGAAATCTTTGTAGTCCCCTGATGTGTCATCTGCAACAGCTTGATCAAGACCAGAAGATGTGGTTATCTTGTCATATTCCCCTCTAACTTTTGCCAGATCAATCTCGGCGCGAGTTACAATGGTTCGGGTGAGGGAATCCTCGTCCGTTCCTAGCCCAAGCACCGAGGCTCTCAAAACCTGGAAAACGAAACAGCAAAGTCTATTCGACTCAGCAAACGAGAATAAAAAGTGACTGGACACGAACCACCCTTGTTTCTATGTTCATACAGATGTGCAAAAATATGGTACAAGTTCACTTCAACACAGCAGAAAGAATTCAGCCAAAAAGTCACAATTGGTGGGGGACTTTGAGACAAAGAATTCAGTTCAAGACAGCTTTTTGTTACCTCAGCAAAATGTTTCGCTGGGGAGTCAATGCACCAGATGGCTAACTTCAAGATAGATTCCAAAGGGCCTTCGCCGCAACTCTTAATATGCTGCAATATTAGGTAAGGATTAAAAGACAAATCTATAGAGATATATATAGAGAGAAGCAAGAAACAATCCTAGCTCCTGAGAGAACTCGTTAAATAATTGGTGGTTCAAAAAACTAACGTGATCAATGGAATATTGATAGTTTTGTTCGTAGCACAAAAAAGATGCACGAAGCTGAAAAACATTCCTCGCACAGAGTATAAAAACAACATCATCATTGTCCAGTTGTTGTGTTTGGATGGCTTCGTGAAGCTTAGCAGCATCTAGATTTGCAGTAGGAATATCCACCACCTCTTTGTCATACCTGTAGGAACTTACCAAACCAACCAGAACCTGTCCAACATAGGCACAGCTCGTCACATAAAGCTAAACGAATATAATAAAAAAGAGGAACACATCGTTAGATGTTCTAGTACAGATCAAAGGTTTTTCTCAAGGATCTGCAGGACAAGAGTATATATTATCAGAAGATTGTGGTACATTTGAAAATTTGGTGCCGGGAAATGTCAATATGTCATATATGTTCCTCACTAGATACATAAATAGTCCTTAAAAGCTTTGATGATATTTCAAAATATGGCATTCGGTAACATGCAATGAAGAACATTGTTTTCAAGAAAATTATATTCTACATAACAAAAATTGAGTGTTTTTTATGGGTTTACCTTCTTCAAGGGCAAAGAGATGCTTTCCGTGATGTCTTCTTCGATTGAACAATCAAAAAGAGAGCAGTATGCACGCTTTACAGCAGCCAGATGCTCAGGGGATGAAGCACAGGCTATCTCGACAATTACTTGTAATCCTTCTATGCCTTCCTTCGTCGACTTCAAAGCCTTATTTACCAGCCTTGCATCTCTTTCAGGAGGATCATATGTCCACAGAATCACAGCTTCCTGTTACTCAGCAAAAAATTTAAAAAGTCGGGGAATAGCATCCTCTTATAAGTACATTATATCTTACACTTTTATTCTTCTTTCAAAAAGCTAGGGTACGGTTACTAACCGGAGAAGTTTTCTATTTTATGGAGAAACGGGAATTTGGGGAAAGAAAAACAAAGAATAAGTTCACTTGTACATTTCTAATTTCTCCAATTTGAATAGCAAAATCCGGAAAAAGGAAAACTAGAGAAAGGATCGGAGTCTTATAACATACAAGAGGATGAACCTCAAGCAAGAAGTGTAAGCATACAACTACAAATTCCCATAAGAACTTACAAAACATACCATTCAACTGACAAGAAGACAAGCAGCTAGAACCTAATACATATCTAAACTAGTCCATCCATTTTCATAAAATTGTAATTCCTCATTTCTACTCTTTCAAATGTGTGCATAAAAAATGCATCGCAAAACTATTCAAAACCTATACAATCAGCACCCTAGTAAGTTAATGTCCTTAGATTGGAGCTTTAGAATCAAAATTGATTGTGCCTAAAAATGAATAACTCTAGTCAACCAAAATTCAATATACAGAGAAAAATGTTAGTCCAAATAGCATTTCCGAGATAAGAAAAGAGCCAATGATACCATGAAATCACCAGATAACTCTGAGCTAAGATCATCAATAAGGGATTTGTTGTAAAGCTGCTGATAGGCTTCTCTGATCTGCTTCCTTTGGCTTGCATTTCTGTGCCCCAAAACCCTTACGATTTCTTTCTCCTCAGTTCCCAGTCCTAAACAAGGACACCACACTAATTTCCATGTGTCTAGACTTTATACCAAAGGTAAGCATTAAAAAGAGAATTTATGCAATGATCCATGCAAAATTGTAAGAAAACCAGAGGAAAATGGAGGAGACCTTTGAATGCTTTCATGAGCGTTTCGCAGTCTTGTGTTGGAGAAGGAATGAGTTCCGGTAGCCTAAGTGTAGCCATTTTCGCTTTCTTCTGATCTTCCTCTTTGCTTCTTTGCTCTTCTTCCGTAGTGTTGTCTTGTCTATGGAAAAGGAGATGAAAATAGAGAGGTTTCAGTTTCTGCTTTTAAGTTGAACGGTTTCTTCATTGTAACGTAATACGGAGTATTGAGTTCTATGCTGCCCCTGCATTTTGGTTGGATGATAATACCCCTATAGTGGCTGTTACTCTTTTATGGCGAATATTAATTTCATTCTTTTGCTGCGTTTGAAATTATAATGAATCCATATTTTATATTCTAATTAGAATTTTATTAAAATTGACTCTTTTTTTTATGGTAAAAAATATCATTATATTAAGAGAAAAAAGAGAGCTTAAAAAGCTCGGAGGGTCCTAGGAGTCTAGGACCAAAAAGAATGAGCCAAGCATGCACCATTCGCCTTAGGTAGGGAATGAGTAGCTCAGTTGTCACCTCTACGAACAAAGCGGACCACACAGTCACTAATAGAGTGTAAGAGATAATATTCAAAATGATCTTTGACTATAGTGATTTTTTTTTCAATTTCGTCAAACGACTTTGGTGACCTCATGTAGTCCCAGACTTTTGTGTTTTTGCTCAATTCCCTCTCCTTTTCTCCACCGGAGACGAAGAGAGTTAGGCATCTTCGTCTCTGGCCTGGAGACTTTCCAACCAGAGACGAAGATAGGTCCTTCGTCCCCGGCGGAGATGAAAGAGAGGGAAGTGGGGTAGCCGGCAACTGCCGCCAGCTTTTGCTTTTTTTAAAAAAAAATAATAATAATATTAAAATAACTTTTTAAAATAAAAATTAATTTGACTGCAAGACCAAATGTGATACAAATTACAAAGTTATGTACCTAATTTTAAAAAATATTAATAATCAATGGTCAAATGTGATACAAATTATATAATCATGCACCTAATTTGATAATTTTAATAATTAATGATTAAATTTGATAAATGTACTATACTCAAAGGATCAAAAATGATATTTTAAAAAGGACACGTGTCTGCCAAGGAGTAATAACCTGCTAAACAAATCATTTAAGACTTAATAGAACTTTTTTTTTTTTTTTTCAATTTAGAGGGCTTTAGTGGAGGGTTTTTCTTTTTCTTTTAAAATTTAAGGGGCTCAATTACACTATCTATTATACTTAAGGGATTAGTTTGACCATTTTTTCTAATTTATTCCATCACGCATGAATGTATAGAAAATATTATATTAGATTAGAGATTATTAAAATAGAACATAATTAATCCTAATAATTAAGTTAAATTAAGAACGATTTATGTTTCTCATTCTTTAAATAAGTATACGTTTTTTCATCATCAATAAATAAAAGGGCATGGCAGTTTTTTTTTTTCATTATATATTAATTGATAATAGTAATTTTGTCTTCATTTATTTGTGATATCAAATAACATCGCGTTAGGGGGTTATCCATAACCAAGTTAGTTTAACAATTAACTTAATAATTATGGAGTACATGATTTGAAAGAAAATGTTGTATTAAATTAAAACATGAACTCAAAGTCCTTTATAAAATGACATAAATGCAATTCTCAACCTTCTAGGGGCAATTATAGTCATTCCATCGTTTAAATAAACGGATTGTTACCGTTGTGAATGACTAAAACGCCCTTAGCCTAATCATTTCGGATCTCCCTTCAGTATGATTTCGAAACGCGCTAGAACAAGTCTCAATCTTTTACTATTGCAGTTTAATTGGCGCTTTCCGACGAGCGTAGAGTTCTCACCAAGGCTTTCTCAAGTATGCTTCTACGAATTCCTTAACCTTTACGTGATTATTTTTTCAACGAAGTTTATGCTAATCGATACAATTATTGAAAATTTGGAGAATGTCAATGTTTTGCTGCTTGAGATTACTTTTCTTGGAATTTTGGTGATGTTAGGGTTTGGTGTGGATGAGAAATCATTTGTATGAGAAAATGGAACGCGGAGCAGAGGAAAGCGTACCGGAAAAGTGTTCCAGAAACGTTTATCGGTGATGAACGCCAATTTAAGAAGTGGAATAATCGTCATATGCTCCATCTTCCTCACGAATTCTTATGGTTCATGGTACTAATTCTTGTATTTAAAACTAATCAAGCCCGTATCTCTGCATTTTTACCTTGTGTCTAATTGTTGAGCATATATAATTAATGTATAGTTGAATTATAAGTTCAAAATATATAGATTATCAATGACCACAAATAAATATATTGTCCAACTATTAGTTTTGATTCTTAGTTATAACGAAACACATTTTTTATTATACTTTTTTATCATCCACACATGTACAGCAGTAAGCATTTTCTTACATACATATATCTACATAGTATTTGTTGAGTTTGTCTCATATAGGAATTAGGAATTTGAGTTTGTCTCATACCAGGAATAGGAGTGAAGCGGATAGACACATTTTACATGGATTAGATGCTCATTTTTGGTATCAGAGCATTGTTCAACAAGGGGCTTAATAACCACTATCACCATCATTATGAATTAAAAAAATAGTTTCACTCCCGTGGACGTAGGTACATTGCCGAACCACGTAAATCTTTCCTTCAGCGCATTTCTGCCATTATTATTGTTTCTTGTTCTTGGTATTAAAGCATTGTTTGAGATGGTCAGTTCAAGTACAAAATTCGAGGTATCAAAATTTGATGGTACCGTTCCTTCCATGTAGATATTCCGGCTCCATGCTTCTGTTTAGAACTTGAACAAACAGATGAATAAACAAGATATTTCTCTCCATCCTTTCCTTGATTTCACTTTGCGTCAAAGAGGTTTTGAGAATTCTGGCCACAAGTAGCAAGATGCATCTCAAGACAGTATACGAGCATTACAGAGTAATTAGTGGCAAGGACTTGGATGAGGTATCAATACATAATATGTTTGGCTTTAAAATGGGCAGTACAGTGCCTTTGCACACCTCAAGGCATACTTCAGTGAGGTCAGTCAGATTGATCACAAAGAACACATAACATTTCTTGTAGTTCTGTTACAACAAATCTTGTTCTGAGACATCATCTTAGTGGATTCTTATAACATCTATCCCATGTTTTTTGGGAGCATCATTGAGAACATAGGTAAATGACACGTACAGCTAGAGTTGCAGTGAGTCGAGTCATTGTCACGCGAGCAGAATAAGACATGAAGCAGATCAGATTAGAGTACCTTCGCAATATCAATTCAATTTACCAAATAAGATTGAAGAGCTTGTCAATTAAGAGTCTCACATTGATAAAATAAGAGAGAATATATATGTGGATTTATAAGGTCATGAGTGGCTAGACTAACTAATTGGTTGAATTCAATCTTTTAGTGTGTTTTGACTCATGTCCATTATAGTCCAATTAAGTGACCCTAGTCCAATCTAAGATTATAACATGGTATCAGAGGCTATTCGGTCCACTTTGTGTTCACCCAGTTATGGGTATTCGTGGCGTCCAAGCTTTTGTAAGCCTGCTTGTTCGGTCCACTTTGGTGACTTTCTCGTTTCAGGAGAGGGTTCGGTCCAATTTCAAGTGTTCAACCAATTATGATACGATTAATTGATCCGCGTATTTTATGTGTATTCCCGTGTATATATGAAATATGTTTGTGTATAGAACATGCATGAAAATGTATAGAGAAGATGGAGCACAATGGACTAGAATAAGCTTCTTTTATTAAATGTTTAGAAAGAGAGTAGAGAGAAAGTGGGGAAAAAAATTTCACGCTGGGATTATTCCAGCCAATTTTAGATTGGCAAGATGATGTGGCTTAGCCACATCATTATTTTCCTTTTTTTTTAATTGAAAGGGGTTTGCAAATTTGCAAGTTTAGCAAATTGGCAAACCCCTGAAAAAGCTGCCGCTTTGTACTTTTTATTTATTTTTTATTTTGTTTTCTTTACTTTTTAATATTTTATTATAATTAATAATATTATTTTAATATGTTAGGTCCACTTTTGAAAGTTGATTAGATTTGTAGAGATGTAGTGTGAATAGTAGATTATTTGCAAATGGAATGATGTGAAAGTGGGATCCATTTTTGAGAGTGGGAGATGTTTGCAGGGATAAGGATAGCCTCATACAATAAAGGGCATTTATATAAGACTCGTTGATTTTTATCATAATTCGAACCGTTTGATCCCGACTTGACTACAAATAAGAGTACGGGAAATCAAAATAGAGAAATATTTTCTATTAGGTTAGATACTAAATGACCCGAAGAGTCCCACATTAATAAAGTAAGAGAGAATATATATAAATTTATAAGATTATGAGTGATTAAACTAGCTAATTGGTTGGATTTAATTAGTTTGGTTTGATTCATGTGCATTCTATCTCAATTAAGTGACCTAGCCCAATCTAAGATTATAATAGGATTAATACTTTAGTCGCAAAATCTGAGCATATATTGTCTGAAACTTACCCACAAGATTGCATTGCTATATGATGATTGCATTGTGCATGCAATGAATGGTAAACACAAGATCAATCTTGAAAGGTGATAAAATAAAAATAAAAAAATAAAAAATAAAAAGTCTCATTACCGAAGCAACAGGGGACTTACTCAAAACACACGAAACTGACAAACTAACAACACACGAAAGACTCTGAAACTTTCCAACATATTCAAAAGCCAAGCCAAAGAAGACGACACCAACAAGACAGACCTACAATCATTCATTCTTGCTTCCCGAGCAGAGCCAGGAGTAAAGCCTCGTAATGCCCAGAAGTTTCCTTGGCAACAGCCTGCTCAAGAGTGACACTGTTCCTCTTTTGATAAACCTCCTTGATGCCCCTCAAATCCCTCTCCGCCCTCGTCACGATCACACGGGTCAAATCATCCTCGTCCGCCCCCGTCTTCGTCAGAGCTCGTCGGATCAGCTAAACACACTCCATTAGCCACACATTCAATCTAATCACTCTCATAATCAAATCATTAATTACCTACCTTCTCATAGTACTTATGTGGGTCAACCATGGCTCGGATCGTCGAACGCAGCGCTGTCAGGTACTGGTTTCCAGTATCTTCCTTCAAATCCTGCAAAAAAAACAATTTAAGATTGGACCAAGATCACACAACCAGGTTAGGCTGGAGATTGGACCAAGATCACACAACCAGGTTAGGCTGGAGCGCATATATATATATATATATATATATATATATATATATATATACCTTGGTGATAGCAGTGCCATGTTCATCTTTATAGCGGTTGAAAGTGGCTATGAGCTGAGCCTTGCTTCTTGTGCTCAGAATTCTAACGATTTCTTCATGATTATACTCCTTTTTCTTGATGGCATTGTGGAGGATCAGAGACTCAGTTTGTGCTAACTTAGCGTCGACCTCACTTCCAGAGTACCTGTAAACACCCACCAACGCAACTAGAAGCTGCGAATCGGGTTGAATAACGTTATTCTTCAATCCAATCAAACTACTTAATAAGTCTAGTCAACTTGCACCAATTATTAGTAAGGATAGATTATTAAAGTGAAGATCAATTAGGTGATGAAAAAATTAATGTATGAACATGCCTTGCGGAAATCTGCAGTAGAATTCTGAGCCAAATCTTCTTCAAACGAACGCTTGTAGCGGGCCTGATAGGCCCGCTTGACGCCCAGAAACTCTTCAGGACAATAGATGCATGCCTGCTCGATGATCACACGATAATCTGGAACGCCGCCCTTTCTGATCGCCACATTTAACAGCACGGCGTCGCGGTCCTCCGGATCCAGCATCAACCGGTAAACCGCTTTCTGCAATTAATCAACCAATAATCAAATCATAATAATCATCATCGAGAGAGAGAGAAATTAAACAAAGAAATCATCAAACGGTAGATCATATCGTATCGGATCGGAACCTCCAAGCTGCCGGAGAGCTCCTTCTCGAAGCGTCTGATCAGATCCTCCTGATACTGATCGTGGTACGCCTGCTTGATCAGCTTCCTCTGAGTCCAGTTTCTATGGCCGATGATTCCGATCACCGTCTTCTCATGCGTCCCCCATCCTAAACAGTTTATTTAATTACACCATTATATATATATATATATATATATATATATATATATATATATATATATATATATATATATCCAGAAACCAAAACACACTGAAAACACAAAATCTATGATCGTACCTTTACAGGCGTTGTAAATGGCCTCAGCATCGGCGACGGGGGAGGGGTGGTCGGGGAAAACGAGGGTGGCCATTGATCGATATAGCTAGCTATCAATGGAGAATATAATCAAAGCGGGTTTGCATTGGAGTGGAATTAAGAGTGGATTTATAGGAGGGATCGGAGGGAGGGAGAGGGGTGGAGCTTCTCACGCTGCAAACGTGTAGAAAGTAACGCCATTTGGTAGATGCTGACAAAAGCAATGTGCATGCCGGTTAACACGTAAGGGGCCCCAGGCGCTATCTTAGTACATCGTTTTCAATACCACAGGCTGTTTTCTTTTTCCGTTTAAAACCAAAGTTAGTTTAATTTTTTAAATCTTTTTAAGGTATAATTTTTAGTTGAAACATCATACATCTTTCAATTTAATATCAGATACATGTAAATGGTAATACATATATTAATTCAGACTTTTAATTTAGATGAAATTATACATGATATGTTTGATACTTTTTTTTTTTTTTGTGACAATCACACATTGTGGTCCGGATCTTTTTTTGTCTGTTTAACGGTCCAAGTCCACACATTGTTAATACTTTTATTATACAGAAGTGTTAATAAAATCTAGTACAATTTAAATAGCATATATGATTGTACATATTAGAAAAGGCAGGCACTAACATCAATTCACATGATATAAATCAAGTGCAAGTTTAATCACTAATTATCATCCGCTATAATTTTGGTCCTATTTTTTTTATAACAATTTTGGTCCTTAATTAGCTTCAAAATGACTATTTTTATCATTTGAAAGACCAAAAAAAAAAAAAAAAAAAAAACACCTTGTGAAAGTTGTAGTATTTTTAGTTCGTAATGTATTTTTGAAAGATGAAAATAGTCACGTCTATGACTAATTAAGGACCAAAATTGTGATTCATGAGAATTAAAAGCTACATTTACATTTGTCTTATAATTTAGATGAGAGACTAAAAGTGCAATTATTTATATCTATTACTCCGTACTTCATAAGTAAGCATCATTGGCAGAAGTTGTCATGGATCCCTCACTAATTTAATGTGAAAAAGAAAAAGAAAAATATAATAATAATAATAATAATAATAATAATAATAATAATAATAATAATAATAATAATCATCAAATAGGCTCATAACTTTATTAGGAAAGTCAATTCGGTCCCTACACTTTTTTAAAGGTGAAATTAACCTATCAACATATTATTTTGGTGCATTGAAACTCAAAAATCAATTAGTATAACATGTCACCAGGGTTTCAGTAACCTTCCAATGATCCTTCGACCAGCATTGGCACTATTTTTTGCAAAAAAACAACCAACGATCGGCAATGGTAGTCGGTAGCCTTCGAATCAAAATAACATATTGATGGGTTTAATTGCACCTTCGGCCAATCCAGTGGTCACCTTCTTAGTCGCCAAATGGTTGTCAGAACCCTAGTGGCCTGTTATTACATGTCACTAACCAATTTTTGAGCCTCAATACACCAAAATAACATATTGATGGGTTTAATTACACATTTTAAAAAATTTAGAGAGCCTAATTAACTTTTTTTAGTAAAATTTAAGAGCATATTTAACTCTTTTCCCTAATAAAAATTTAAGAGCATATTTAACTCTTTTCCCTAAAATAAGGATTGCATGACACTATGAATTGTAAACTTGATATGTCATTATGGCTCACTTTTAAAAGTGAAGGAGAATTACATGAGTACGAGTAATTATTTGTATTTGCTAATAAAAATTAACCATTTTGAAACATAATTTAATATCTACTAAATTTAAACCACTTTTTACAAATTTATGTAAAATAATAATATTTCTTATCATCAAAAATAACATTTTTATCTTTAAATAGTTATAAAATTCACTACTGGAAATTATGAAATTTCCGATCACCTGAAAGTGATCTTAAATCAAGTCAAATGCCTTGTTCCGACCACTTTTGGTATCCGGAAAAACCTTTGTTGTTATTTCCGACCATTTTTTAGACTTTTTGGTATCAACTTAATTTAAGATCGTTTTCAGGTGGTCGAAAATTCCATAATTTCCAGTAGTGATTTATGCATTTTTAAATTTTATTTCAATTATTTAATTTTACTATGTATTTTTTATTGGGCACTTTTCAATCACATATTATGCGTGTTTAGAACTATATATTTACTTAATAAGTTGTCGGGATTCCTGAATAATCTAACAAGAAAGAGAAAATCCCTCACTAATTTACTTGTCCACCACGAAAATTAATCCTCTAAACACACAATAAGATAAACGAGTTATTTGTCCATTGTTGATGGTTTAAGTTAGGAAGGTTAACTTTTCAAAAAAAAAATAAAATTATAAAGGTTAATAAGTAACTTTTATGAAAAGTCAAACTTGAGACTTTGTGACAAAAGTCAATTGTTTAACAACTCGACTAAATTTGTTTCCAATAAAAATCGATATGATCCTGACAAATATAGAAGTTGTGTATAATAATTCAATTTTACACATGCCATTTCTTTTTTTTTTTTTTTCAAGACAGTTAATCATAATTTTTAATCTGTCTGTCCATATTTAATTATCACATTTATTTTTGTGGTTAACTTTGATTTAATTTTTGATAAATTTGATTTTTACATTTTTTAAAATTTATGTATTAACAAATAACACAGTAATGGCCTTTTAGTAATTGAAAATTTTTAATTCTCGAAAGCATAACATTTAAAAAAAAAAAACAATTAATTTTAAAATTTTCAAATTATTTTTTAACGTTATCCACCTAACACCTACTTAAATTTACCCACTTATCTGTGCACTACATTCCAATCTTGTCTATCACTGTGTATATATCCATTGTCCCACCTGCCTAGTATTCACCCACTCATTCTTACTTGTGTATTTTAGATTATATTTTACTTTATAGAAATATAACTACAATTATTTACCTAAGTAATAACCATTATTATATTTGTATATGAAAAATACTTAATTTTAAATAGTTTCTAACATATTTAGTGAGCTTGCGGTACTAATTTTAGTATGTAAATCGACCGAATATATTAATATTCGGAAACAACAAATAACAAATATATTTGTGTAATAGCATAGTTATGTTCTATTACAAAATAACATAATAATAGCGCAAAATACTAAGAATCAAATCCTTATTACAATATAGATCTACTATATTTATATAAATATATTGCCTAAAGAATAATACAGAGTAATTATTACCCGACAAAGGCGGCATCTCACTTCTTGTGTAATAACAACAATTTACTTTCAAGTGTAAACGCATTAATGATCATGTCTAAACGCGCATAATGAAGGAATATTAGACTTCTGGACTTAGGCCACTCTATTAAAATAACAATCCAAATGTTTCTTATTATCCTAACATAACAATAACAATTTCTCTCAAAAAAAAAAAAACATAGGGAAAATGACACTTTTTTCCTATGTGTTGTTTACTAATAGCACATTTTCCCCCTGTGTTGTTTATGTAACCACTTTATCCCCCTCAATTATTTTTGAAGTGGCTATTTTTTCCCCTCTTCGTTAAGTAAGTGTTAGGGCTGTTAAATATGAGGGTAAAAATGACTTTTCACTTATTATTATTATTATTATTATTATTATTATTATTATTATTATTATTATTATTATTATTATTATTATTATTGTCATGCTAATTAAGTTGGGTATCATTACCCCATTAGTTTCTTGATTTATAAATTTTTTTTTAAAAAAAATAACTTATATATATATATATATATATATATATATATATTATTTACGCATGTAAATAAATTCTTATTATATAAATAAAAGTATAAATTTTCTTCAATATATTTTACAATTTCTCAATGAAATTTAAAAAGTTGAAACATTCTTGAAATGCTAGCAAGAGAAAGGCGGGAAAATTAAACAATACTTAAATATTTTTCATTACAAAAACCACCGCCCAAGTTTTTTTTTTTTTTTTTTTTTTGTTTAATATGCTTTACACTTTTGCAGTGTTGGTACTTTTGGCTTTTGGTGATGTATAAAATATGTAATATATGTTTATTTATTTGTTCAGTTTGGAATTTTCGAACCAGAAAAAAAAAAAAAAAAGGTTTTGTATATACGGAGTAGGATTTTTGTGCTTCTCAAAAGATAGTTAAGATACTGTACTGTACTGGCAAGTATGAATGATATTCCTAATAAAAGGAAACAAACACATTAAAGTTATCCCTGCTGACGGAGCATCTACTCATCATATGCCCATTACATTAATGCTTGGGAATAACTTTCTAAATATGTGTTAGGATACAACTTAAGTACTTAATTAATCGTGTTTCAACAAAAAAAAAAAAAAAAGTACTTGATTAATCTAAAATAAGTTTAATAACGTAAAAGATGTATGAATTTGATTTTGTTGTGCGCATTAATCTATAAATATTTAAGAGTATGTAGGCAAGTTAAGATATATCTCGCGATTTACCTCATATGATATTTTTTTTTTTTTTTTTTTTTTGGGTGATGAGGAAAGTCCAAAGCCACTTGTGCAGTGTGTACTAGGTAAATTTTATTTTTGTGTAATAATTTACAAATCATACAGGAAAGATCAACCGCACTAGTAATTTTTAGTTATTAAAAAAATATTATAATAATACTAAAATCATGTGATGGAACTTTAAGCGATTTTGTCATGAGCTTGTTCTTTGTTGAAATTAAGGCATTTCGTGTATGTAGGGCAGTAGGAGGTCAAGGTGGTTGATAGCTCGCGGACTAACACTAAACTGCTCATAAGACAAATTATATCATACACTTTGAAGTTCATTTTATAATGTGAATCTTGATATAGTCATATAGGTTCATTTTTAGTATGTCCATTATATTAATATATAAGTTTATTTTTAGTATAATGCATATTCATTTTTAATAGTTTGTAAATTAAAATTAGTATATAATAATACTAAAAATAAATTTGTATCAAAGTTTCATGTTAAGTAGATTCTAATTTACGATATAAGCACGGCCTGCAATGAGGTGGTTTGAAGTCAAACAATTTAGGCTCAAAAAGAAGTAGTAGGCTTGCCTAGTGGTCACTAATAATTATTGTATTTTTCAAAAGAAATTTAAAAGTTAAGTCAATAAGTTAATAT